CACAGGACTCCCACAGCACAGACTGTTATGAAGTTTGTGGTATGCAGAAAAACGGTTGCAGGAAAAGAGGGATTCTTTTTTATCTCAGCATAATTTGAGCCTTGACAGCCACTTGTACAGCAAATCTACACAACCCACCAAAAGCAGCCTGGATGCTCATGCACTTTTGGATCACTTCTGCAGATGGCATCTATTTCAGAAAGGCCTATAAATATGTTTTATTAGATGATAAAAGGCCAAGGGAACCCCATTCGCTTTGTTTAATGCAAAAATGGGTTGGAGGTCTTCCAGAAGAAGCATAGCAATAGATTAAAGTATGCTTACTTAACACTATAAAAGATGTAAAAAATTGTACAACAATCAGTCGGATGAATGATCTGAGACATTTGCCTGCAGTTCTGTAAATCCAATTTCATGAGCAATGCGTTGCACATGATGTTTGCTTGAACAGGATCCTAATCGCTTTCATGGGACAATCCCAGCTGCCTCCATTATTACAATAACTCCATTTGATAAAAAGGAAGAGGCCGCAATCGATTTCATCCCATCGAGTATCGCTAGATTACAGTTTGCATGCATCGTAGTGTCAAGCGCAGCTTCTGACTGTCCATGAGCTGAAATAAAAGCAATCTAGGCTCATTAGAAAAGCAAGCCTGTACCTATATTCTTGAAATAACTCCAAAAACATACATACATACAATTCACTGCAGTTTCCAGTTGAAATGAACATTAGTGGCAGTAAAACACCAACTTTTATTTCTTTTCACACAATTTATAATCATAAATCAATATGTAAATTATGATTTCGGAGGAAGATTACCGATTATACTACCATAGTGCATGATCTGTAAACTAACACATTTTGACATGTGCATCACAACCACCTCCGTATGAATGGCTTTTCTGATGTAGAAAACTTGATCGGAAGCTCACCTGGTTTCGCACTTGCAATGTGGAGCGCTCAGGTACAAGTCCTCTGAAATAAATACGTGTCATGATAGAAGAGCTCAAAGACTTCTAGAAGCAAATTGCATGGTTGCTTCAGCAAATGCTTTTTTTTTTTTTTTTACACTTACATTGCTTTTTTCGACACTGTCGGTTAGGTTCAGTGTCGGATTTAGTGTAGGTGCTTTGTTATTTTCAAACTAACCTTTATTTTTATTAGAATTAACCTTTTAAAGTCACTCTAGACATTTGAATACAACCACCAACGTAAAAAAACATTACCAGTTACCACTTTTAGTGCCACACACTGGACATTTCGCTTCGAAAGTGTGGCAAAAACATGCCAAAAGCAACGTAAAAGAGCATTTTCCAATGAGCCTGGGTTGGGGGAAAAAGGCATCTAATGCACCCAAAAAGCCAAATGGGGAGAATTAAAATTACTGTGTATTGTGTTTGTGCTTTAGGCTGTCAATCAGAGATGGACAAAAGCAGTAGAGAGAACCAGAGTCATTCTAACAAACAACAATGCTGCGGACCCATGAGATTTGTAGGGTCAGGCTAATCTCCACCTCTCGGGGCACCCGATGGGTGGTCCATTCAGCGCTCGGTCGCTGTGTGTCAGAGGTGTAAAGACCACCTGAAAAACATACTTGAGTAAAAGTTGATACCTTACAGCGAAAATGACTCCCAAGTCACCAATTCCAATACCACTTGAGAAAGTTTTAGAGTATCTCATTTAAAAGTACTTAAAGTCCCCATGAATTCAAAATTGATCATACTTACTTTGTTTGCCTAAATGGATCGTTTTGTGGTGAACAATTCATCCATGCAAGTCAATCCACACAAATTTTTTTTTTTGGCTTCGTAATCTTTAATCAAAATCTGAAATTTCCCCTCCCCTCTGCATTGGAGGACCTTCCCTGATGACGTAGGTTTGACGGTTTTGGTGTCGGCTTAACATCCGTAACCACGCCCCTCCAACTGACAGTAGACAGGCTGAATGAAACACCTACTTTTCTAGATCCAATCAGGTGCTAGTTGAAAAAAAAAGCCACGCCGACTATTTTGCCTCATTTAGTATTCCGTTTCTCTCGGAAATACGTCACAACACTGGAGAAAAGTCGTTTGCAACTTCCGGTTCACGGGGACTTTAAGCATTTTACTCATACTAGTCCTCAACACCAACGAGACATGCCAGTGAAAAACAAGAAACAGCTGATTTATGAGGAGAGCAATCACGTTTATTTTCTAAAATCAAAATAAAACTGAACACCTCAAAATCGCAATCAATCAGGTTCGACATAACCGCCTCTTAAACGTCTTCAAACACTCAAGTCTCAGTTAAACTCAAGTGCTCAAAATGAGCTCAAGTAAATCAATATCCTTCAAAAATGTTTCTACAATATAACAGATAAATAAAATAATGCTAAGTAAAATGAAATAGTTTTTCACTGGACGTGCTACACCTGCGATTCACAACTACCTGCTAATGGACTCAATATTCATCTAAAGTAGCCTTGTTGACAAGTTTGGGTAAACAAGGGCACGTATAGGAGTAAACAGTACATATAGGCCCTGTTTACACCTGGTATTAATATGTGTTTTGGTCGATCGGATCACAAGTGGACGATAAATACAGGTGTAAATGGGGTCTAAACGTTTTGAAATTGTCCACTTTTGACCTAGTCGAAAACGCATTCGACCAGATTGCTTTCGGAGTGTAGACGCTCATGGGGTCGAATGTGTTTGAACAGCCACAAAAGACCGCCTACTGACCTAATGCAGAAATATTTTGGGAAGTGCGCTAGCCAGACGGGATTTAAACTTCGTCGGCTAAAGACCCAAGTTTGGTTTGAAGACAAAAACGTACGAAGCACAAAGTTCTATCATCATTCCTGATTTCTAACACACACTCAAGCGTTCAGAGGTCTTGCAGCTGTCAGAGCTGAAATGAAAGCTGATGTCAAATGTGAATGTCACCCTCGTCCACTTGTGATCCGATCGACCAAAACACATCTCAATACCAGGTGTAAACAGGGCCATACTTATTCAAAAATGTAGTCAAGTAGAGAGTAAAAGTTGCTCATATATTTGAAAAACTCCAAAGTAGCCAAAAAGATACTTAATTACAGTAACTAATTACATTACTGAAATACTTTTACCACTGCTCTATGTTTCTCATCTACATGGCAGGAGCTGAGGGGGAAGCCACTAAAGCGGAGTTTCACAATCCCCATTAACATCTTTAACAACAATGATAAAAAGTACATTAGCATATTCTGTAAACCGCTGTGAAATACATACATATAACAAGTCAAGAAGTGACAAACACTGCACTCTACAAAAAAAAAACCCTGAGGGGATATTCCTTTATGCTTTATGCAAAACAGATATCAATTGCTTCAGACACACAGCCTGATTCAACCTCTTTGTATTGAGAACGGTAGTCTGTTTTGAATCATCGTAATTCCGGATGAGTTCTGGTGGGCAGTTATGACTCAGCCAACCATGTTTTGTCCATTCAGCACTTCTCAAGTCTTCTAATGTACAGTTTATGTCAGCATGGCAAACTAGAAGCTAACATTGAGTGTAGTCATAGAATAAGGAGCCAAAAGCCATAACAGCACGTCTGCTTTTGCATACACAATAACGACATTCCTGTAACTGCCAAGAGAGAGGAAATGGATTTTTTTAGCTGCTTGAAGGGCGGGTGATAGGGGGATTCCAGGCACAGGAACATTAATCCGGAGAGCCAGAGAGTCCATGATCACTGTAAGCACCCCCCTGCCTTATCTATCGCCCGTTTTTTTTTTGTTTCTCAGTATGTGTGGGGTGGGGTGAAACGGAGGGGATATTTTCTAGTGGTAGATTCCCAGGTGAACTCACAGAGAGTCCCCCGCCCAACGATTTAACAGCCAGCAGCCCCTTATTAAAGAACTGAAACAACATTTTTTTGCTCAGCAACTAAAACCACCGAAACCACACAACTAACAGAAGGCGCTGGCAGTCATTCAGAATCTGCAAACTGAATGAGATGTGAAAAAAAGTGGGTTAATGTCGCAAACTCTTGCATTCCCTTTTGCATGCGATATGGCCATGGCAACGACTATAATTAGATAGGAGAAATTCAATATTCACTGCAAACATCTTGATTAAATGTAAAGAATGTGATAAATCAGCTATGTAAAATATATGCAAAATATATATTTTTAAAAACACTGATTTAACTCGCACAAGATCTCGAAACAAAAAAACACACACACACACACGCAATGTCTGTTGCCTATGTGCAATCTTTTGACATCAGAGTCGTCCTCAAGAGAATGTGACTTCAAAGGGTGGCAGAAGGGAATTGATGGGACTCAAGTCCATCTCATCTCAGCTTAGGCCACTTTGTGAGGCCAAAGACATGGGACAGCATTTGCAGGGATCAGCTTACACATTATACACCCGCTTTCAGGCACATGTCTGATGTGTTGCCTTTCAGTGATACCACATCTGATTGGACATCGTCCATATCTGTCTCAAGGGATCTATTTGTCTGTATGATGGCATGTCACACTCCTAAAGCTAACAAGAGGACATCCGATACATCGAAGATTTCAATAATGTACTACAGTAGGCAATGAGAAATGTTTGCAGTGTGTCATCTGCATACTTGAAAGGGGAATTAAGGAACCGAGGGATGGAACGGTGGAAAAGATGACACTTACGCATTGGGTCTCATCCATTAATAACTGCACAAGTTGCATACTTTTGTAGAAAATGTCACATATAAAAAGCATACAAATATATCTACATACTGTGTTTTTATATATATTGGTCCTTACTAGTTACAATGTTAAAACGCACATGTTTCTGTAGTGGTAGGTTTAGGGGTAGGGGTTAGGTGATAGAAAATATCATTAACCTGAAATAAAATCAATGGAAGTCTGTGCAATGTCCTCACTACTATATGAAACGTGTGTGTAGCATTTTTATGTCATCCTCTAAAATTTAACAAATAGCACTGCTTCATTCACTATGGCAGACACTTGTGCAACCCAGTTACTCACCACAGAAGTAAGAGCCATCTGAAAGCTGTAGATCCGCGCCAGACCAAAATCAGCCAGCTTGATCTGTCCTCCACTGGTGACTAGAATGTTTTGAGGCTTAAGATCTCGATGAACCACACGGTGAGAGTGAAGGAAATCCAGACCCTGCAGCAGCTGGTACATCATATCCTGTCAAAACACGACCAGAAGACCTGAGCCATTCCAAATATATTATACCAAAAAATTATTTTAATAACCTGAATTGGATAAAAAAAAAAAAAACAGACGGAACGGTACTAATATCAAGAAGACAGGCTCAAGAGAATGTCTAATATATGCATGCGGAGGCGAAAAAAGTGAGCATGTCCCTTTAAAAAGTTCAAGTTTGGCAGATGTTGATAACCAACATGACGGCAGAGCAGGAAAGACACGCTGCCGTAAGGCTCCTTCCCTGTAGGCCTCTGCTTCCCTGCAGCTGTCCCGGGATCACAGCTAATTGTGAATAGCCTCGTTCTGCCAATATAAAATCAGACTATGATTCTGAAACTGAAGAGGTGGTGGGGAAAAGACAGCAACATAACTGCCATTTCCTTTGGTAGAAATTGTCAACATTGGCCGTGGAAGGTCAAACTGACAAATAGATAAGAAAAAAAGGAGGCTGTGTATAAGAAGGGAAAAGAAAAAGAAGTAGGGTTGGAGTGGCGAGCGGGGAGCATTTGCTCACAGTTGCTGCTTGACTTGTTCCAAAGCAAAGGTATCAAGCGGTGGCAGCCTACCCCTGAGAAACCCGCTGCCAAGACCTCACAAGTGACATGGATCCGAGCCCACAGCACTGTTCATTCCCCAACCAGCTGGTGAGTGATTAAAACCACTGAAACAATGGGGTGCACACTCAAGCGAAAAACTGCAAACGGCGCGAGTCAGACCGGGCGAGGGGAAGGGGACGGAGGTCCTCGCAATGTGTGCGCTGGGGGCCTGCACTAGGGAACGCGCGTGTGTTAAGAGTCAGGCAGCCAGCATAAACAAGGAGCCTTTCTGAATGCCCATCCAGCCATGACCTCTTAGACCTTCAGGCACAGGCAGTCCGGGAGCTCCTAAAACGGCATCACCCCCTACCAGCTCCTCTGTCTTGGCCTAAAATGGCCCACTTTTGCTCAAGACAAAAGTGAAAAGAAAAAAGGAAAGGTACACAACCACCTCAGAAGTGTGACCCGAGTATAAACACTCATATCGCCTCCTCCAAATACTTATTAAGTACCTTAAATGGACATGTTATCTAATTATCATCATGACAAACGCAGTCTGTGTGCATTGTCAGCACTGTTTTCGGAGGGGAAAATCTGCAGATTATGTCATTTAAATGCATAAAGTGGTGGCTGAATTTAATATTATATAATACATATGCACTGCTTTTCAAATGTTTGGGGTCAAAGAAATTAATGCTTTTATTCAGCAAGGATGCAAAGTGACGGTGAATTCACTGATAAAATTACAAAAGATTTCTCTCTCAAATAAACTACCAACACTACCAACCTTGAAATAACCAGGCTTTGTTGAGAGGCATTCAGAATCAAAACAAAGGAAAGATTTGATAGCACCTGTCCTAAAGTACCTCTTCTCGGAAAAAGGGAGGAAAATAAAGGAGAGGAGGAAAGACCAAACACAAAAAGATCATACATCAAAGAAAAATCCCCACCAAAAAATCCCGTTTTCCACAAAAATGTTAAGCAGCACAATGTTTTCAACAATGATAATAATAAATGTTTCTTGAGCAGCAACTCAGCATATTAGAATTATTTCTGAAGAATCATGTGACACTGAAGACATAAATTACATTTGAAAATATATTAAAATAGACAGCAGTTATTTAAAATTGTAGTATCTTTTCATAATATTACTGTATTTTTTATCAAATAAATGCAGTCTTGGTGATCATAAGACAACATTTTTGACTCAAAGCTTTTGAACGCTAGTAATAATTCAGAAGTATAGTTAGCCATAATGTATGAACATGTGCTTTACTTGCAAATGAAGGCCGTTTGAATTCTGGAGAATTCTGCGGGTGCAGGTTCCTCAATTATTAAGGTTATTATTATTATTATTATTGTGTTATTGTTATTTTAAGTGAGATCTGCTTTAGAGATACTCTGGAAAGCACTTTAGTTAAGTGGAAAATCAAGCTTGATTTACCTGTCAAACAATGTCATTATAATCTCAAAAGGAGTAACCTGACAGGTGGAATCTGAATGCTTCTTTGGACACGGTTCTTTGTTGTAACATGCTATTCACACAACAGAGGCGCTGTAATTTACAATCAAAAAATTAGTGCCATAAATTAAAAACCAACACTACCGACCTTGAAATAACCAGGCTTTGTTGAGAGGCATTCAGAATCGAAACAAAGGAAAGATTTGATAGCACCTGTCCTAAAGTACCTCTTCTCGGAAAAAGGGAGGAAAATAAAGGAGAGGAGGAAAGATTGGGGGGAAAAAACTCCCCGAAACCAGCAGTCAAAACAGAGCTTCCAGAAGGCACCCCCCTTTCTCATGCTAATTCATGAGAGGCAGCCATATTGTTTATTGTACCCCGGCACAATGCAGGACATCTGCCAGTTAGCGTTAGTGTAATTCCTTCCCCATGCTTCATTAGGCTCTCCTTTATGGGCCAGAGACAGGCTTCGGGAAGGCGCGGGGCCGGAGAGCCTAGCCGCACTCCCCAACGCAGGGCCAGCCGCTTGATCTCCTTCCAGCTCATTTGATTCCCGGGGCCTCTCTCATCAATTAGCATGCGGTGGGTCTGAAATGGGGCAGGAGTGGGCAGTTTGGGGGCTGGAATGGGGTGGAGGCTGGGACCTCTGCAATCTGGTGTCCCGAGGAGGGTGGTGAATAAGGTTGCCGGGCATCTTTGGGAGGGCCGCACAGTCTGCAACTGATGTCGGTAATCTGATGTCTGTGTGGCCTGACAAAATGAAATCTCACTAATGCATATTCACGAGCTCTTAGGTTAAAATATTCTGACTCTGGAAGGTGTATTGCATAAATTAACTATAAATGGTCACTTATTTATATTTAAAAAAAAACTATCATCATATCTGTTAAAGTCCTTTAAATTTAATGAGAGAAGAAATTTTTCATTTTTTATATAAATGTTTTACATAATTTAAATAATTAATAGAAGACTAATAGGCCGTGAGACAGAGGGTTGATTGGTACCATTTTGAGGGATTAAACCGCATGGTGATTTTTGTGTAGGTATATGACCCTGTATTTGACAAATGTGTGATAGCATTAGATTCAAGGTAGTTTTTGGTTACGGAGGACGATTTTCAAACATATGTCAAGAAAAAGGATAAATGAATTTATCTTTAAATAAATTTTAAATTTTATAAAAAAAAATATTAAATTTTATAAAAAATATTATAAATATAAAATTGTAAATTGTATAAAATTTTATTTAATTTTTTATAAAATGTTATAATTTTTTTATAAAATTTTAAATTTATTTACAATTTTTAACATTTTATTATAAAAAATTATAAAATTTTATAATTTTATAAAAAAAAATCAATTTTCATAATAAAATAAAAATTTTAAATAAATTTTTAAAATTATAAAAGGATACATTTTTCTCTCTTGTAGTCACTGAACACCTTAATTTGAGGTAGGATGATATAAGTGTTGATTTCTAATGAAAGCTACCATGGATCGGATGCTATCACACATTTTCCAACACTAGAGATGTGTACCTTCATGAAAATCAAAAAGAAATTTAATCCCTCAAAATGGTACCGGTTGCCCAAATTTGGGGTCCCGTCTCATGGTCTATAATGTTAACAGAGGCTGCATTTATTTGATAAAAAAAATATAACAGTAAAAACTGTAAAATTGCTAAATAATTAACTTTTCTATTTTAATATATTTTATAATGGACTTTATTCCAGTGATGTCAAAGCTGACCTTTCTGCATCATTCCTCCAGTCTTCAGTGTCACATGATCAGAAATCATTCTAATATGCTGATTTGCTGCTCAATAAACGTTTCTTATGATTGTGAATGTTGTGAACCTAATATTTCTTTTGTGGAGATGATACTTTTTTGGATTATTTGAAGAATGGAAATTTCAAAAGAACAGAATTTATTAGAAATGGGAGTTATTTGTAACAATGTAAAATTCATTACTGTCTCTGCTGATCCATTTAAAGCATCCTTGCTGAATAAGAGTATTAATTTTCATATTAAAAAAATCTTACTGACCCCAAACTTTTGAATGGTTCTATATATAATGAAGTTATGATAAAAAAATTCAAATTATAACCGTTTTTCAACCAAAACTCAATTTAAAAAAAGCTATAAATAATGTATATACACTGCTCAAAAAAATAAAGGGAACACTCAAACAACACAATGTAACTCCAAGTCAATCACACTTCTGTGAAATCAAACTGTCCACTTAGGAAGCAACACTGATTGACAATCAATTTCACATGCTGTTGTGCAAATGGAATAGACAACAGGTCGAAATTATAGGCAATTAGCAAGACACCCCCAATAAAGGAGTGGTTCTACAGGTGGTGACCACAGACCACTTCTCAGTTCCTATGCTTTCTGGCTGATGTTTTGGTCACTTTTGTATGCTGGCGGTGCTTTCACTCTAGTAGTAGCATGAGACGGAGTCTACAACCCACACAAGTTGCTCAGGTAGTGCAGCTCATCCAGGATGGCACATCAATGCGAGCTGTGGCAAGAAGGTTTGCTGTGTCTGTCAGCGTAGTGTCCAGAGCATGGAGGCGCTACCAGGAGACAGGCCAGTACATCAGGAGACGTGGAGGCAGTAGGAGGGCAACAACCCAGCAGCAGGGCCTTTGTGCCCCGCTACCTCAGCCTTTGTGCAAGGAGGAGCACTGCAGAGCCCTGGAAAATGACCTCCAGCAGGCCACAAATGTGCATGTGTCTGCTCAAACGGTCAGAAACAGACTCCATGAGGGTGGTATGAAGGCCCGACATCCACAGGTGGGGGTTGTGCTTACAGCCCAACACCGTGCAGGACGTTTGGCATTTGCCAGAGAACACCAAGATTGGCAAATTGCTGAAAAGCTGCAGTGCTCTTCACTGATGAAAGCAGGCAGCAGAACGTTCTCCACGGCGTCTCAAGACTCTGACACGTCTGTCACGTGCTTAGAGTGAACCTGCTTTCATCTGTGAAGAGCACAGGGCGCCAGTGGCTAATTTGCCAATCTTGGTGTTCTCTGGCAAATGCCAAACGTCCTGCACGGTGTTGGGCTGTGAGCACAACCCCCACCTGTGGACGTCGGGCCTTCATACCACCCTCATGGAGTCTTTTTCTGACCGTTTGAGCAGACACATGGGGAAGATGCAAATAAACTGCACATTTACCTCTAACATGCAAACCAGAGACTCAAACCTAGTCTGCGTTATGTTCAAAAGTCCCCCTCGATAACATGATCCCTCCTTACCGATACACAAACCTTGCAAAGGAAACCCCTTAGGTGTCACTTTTGAACTTTTGAAATGTTTCCTAGCTTCTGTTTCTATTTCAATTTGGCACGAATGACAAAGAGAGAGATACGGTTCGTTCCAGCACTCAATGTAAGATGTCCTAGAGGGAGAGGTAGTGAAATATGATGAATGGATTTGTAAGACTAGCACGTGGGAAAAAGTCTAAATAGATTACAGGAGAGTAGATGCTCAGGACAAAAAAAATAAAAAAATCCAACGTTTCTGCTCAAACCTTTCCGGATGAACGTAAGAGGACACTGACACACAGCAGGATTATTTCTTGACTAAGGAAAATGATATCTTGCATGAATGACTTAAGTCCACCGGTTTATACTAGTGAAAGGCTGAGAGGGAGGCCACTACACACGAACACAAACCCTTTGCATGCACACATACACCGAAGCAACATTCCTCTGGCCGATCTTTGGTGAAAGCCAGAGCTGAATGAAAATAGAGGCACACAGGCACCCAGCCCTTTAATTAGAAGCCCATCCACCACATGGACTGCCCATCAAAAGGACAAGACTCTGTGATCTGAGGGAGCTCCATCCTTCATCTGCTGACTTAGAAGGCCAAAACACTCATTTTTGCTCACAGGCCTCAAAGTAAAAACATTTTTTTTTTTATAAAACAGCTGCTTGAAAAAGATACAGAGATTGGAAGTAAAATCGGCTACATGTAACAAGTTAATTGATGCAGCTGTTAAATTCAAGTTGCCCTCACTTTGCAGCTCATTGTTTTTATTTACAGCTTAAAGGGATAGTTCACCCAAAAATAAAAATTCGTTAATTACTTTCATCATGTCGTTCCAAAACCGTAAGACTTTCGTTCATCTTCGGAACACAAAGGAAGATCTTTTTGATGAAATCTGAGAGCTTTCTGTCCCTCCATTGACGGCTACGCAACTACCACGGTGACGCTTTAAAAAGTTCATAAAGAGATTGTAAAACTAATCCATATGAATTGAGTGGTTTAGTCCAAAATTTTCTGAAGAGACTCGATCGCTTTATATGATGAACAGATCTAATTTAGGCTTTTATTCATATAAACATTTATCAATTCACACATCAGATCTGATAAACGGAAGCTCAAACATGTTTGCTTGACGTAGTTGAATAGCTGTCAATGGAGGGACAGAAATCTCTCAGATTTCATCAAAAATATCTTCATTTGTGTTCTGAAGATGAACCAAAGTCTTACGGGTTTGGAACGACATGAGGGTGAGTGATTAATGACAGAATTTTCCATTTTGGATGAACTATCCCTTCAAGGTCAATAATAGTTATACGTTTCCCTCCAAAGTTGTGAATTTACTTTTGCGCAAATTGGAATATTGCATAAAACATTTGCGAATAAAGCAGCATTTTCATCCCATGTGTTTAAGAGAACAAAACCGTCACTTCCTAAGGAGTTGACGCAAAATATCTGAAATAAAAATGGAAGTTGCTGCAATCGGGAAAGCCACTGTGGCTCTTTTTTCCTCCATCATAAATGACTCGCGTCTCAGAGCGTGCAGACAAAACGCAATAAACAAAGTTGTGTTATCTTGCGTTCGGATGCCTGGTGTTTGGGAATGCAACCATGCGAGACACATCCAGTGATCCCAACAATCACATCCAGTGATCATAACAATCAGACCAGTTTTTTCTGCCACATCGATGGATTTATTTGTTAAATCCTAGTGTATGCCCATGTCTTATAGAAAAAATGCATGTTTTTTATGCACATTTTTAGAAATCATGTGCATGTTGGCCTTTCCATCCAGCGTTTTTTAATGTGATAATCCAAAATGCGCAACAATTTAGCTGGATGGAGAAACAGCTTATGTGAAATATTATTTGCAACCCGTTTTACTTCCACAATCAGACTTATTTAAGAGTAAAACTGTATAATAAAATGTAAGAGGACATTATTTTTATCCATCATAGTTGACATACTAGAATGTGGTTGAGGGGAGTTAAGAAAAGAGGGATTTGTGACATCGGCAGAAAAGGAAAGTCATTTTTGAGGCAGAGCTAATTATTACATTTTCATTTAAATAATATAAAACAATATGACAGGGTTAAAACAATTCAAACAGGGTTCATTTGGATTTCATGTTGAACTTAACCATTACAGTGCTAGGCTAAAAGCATCAGGTTACAGTTTCTTTGCCTGATCGTAAGAGTTGCGATGAATCTGCTGGTGTGAATGTACCTTTATGGTTTCAGGTGGCACCCCTGGATCAGGTGCTTTCTCCAAATATGTGGTTAAATCTTGGTCCACGTGTTCAAAGACCAAAGTTAGTTTGGTTTCCCGGTCAGTCCTGGAAACTGTGCATACGTCAAACAACCTAGATGAGGGAAGGGCATAATCAAGAACACTTTCATTAAAAGCTGTTTGAGTGACAAGTATTTCAAGTATCAATTTACCTATTATACATATGTAAATTTTATGCAAATTTGACAATATGAACTTTAATGAAGAGTTTAACAGAGCTGAAACCTTCTAAAAAATAAAAAGACAACCTGACACGGCCCTCAAGCTGACATTGGCAAGACAATGCAAGAGGGCCAAAACCCAAAAATGACGACAAGGATGCATGCTTTATCATAAGATAATATATTTGACAGAAGGGGAGAGGTTCTCTAATTGCCTGACATCACTTGCAAAGATAATGAATTACCCCTGACTTTTAGTGCAAGACAAAGTCAAATATCCTTAATCTACGAAAAGATTCTTTCATGGTAAGTTACCCGATCCCATGACATCATAAACTCAACTTTTCTCCAGGAAACGCTTCTGCTGGAATCCAGATTGTGCCTCCACAATGAAGCCTCTTAACCAACAAAACATATGGCATGAATAATATTCTCATTATAAGCATTGAGAATTTGCCTGCACTTTCACAGTTCCCAAACACACGGCCCTATAGGAGTCCCTACATCCTTTAAAGCTAGTTTCTTGCATTCTCTTCCCCACTTTACACTCAACAAAAATACCTGTTCTATAGATCCTGCATTGGCTTTATGTACTCAAAAATACATTAGGGTCCAAAAGTCTGGAACCCCAATGAAAGAACAGTTGTAAGTGGATGAAAAATGCTTCAGATTCTGTACTTTATCTAGGTCACTAATCAAATAAAACATTTATGATACTAATCATGTTCTTCCATTGAATTAGATAATTTCAAATCATGCTGGGGAACATGATCATCAGGTTTTTGACAAGTTCATGCAGCTCAAACGCTGCTGTCAGTAATGCAAAGGGGGGAAACAAACAATATGAAAAAGATCCATCTGCACCAAAATGTGCATTTGCAATCCAGACCTTGTCTGGTCTAGTCAAAAGAACGAAGTGCACAGTGCTCAATGGCAAGGTTAAGGCCTTGAGTTAGGCCAGCCAATGACGTGAGTTTTGTCATCAATTGAATGAAGTAGATAAGCCCTTCAAACCGAGCCATCAATCCATTAGCTGCAAGAACTCCGGTGTTTTTCCACCTACCCATTTTGACATTTATAAGCTACCAAGCTAAAAAAAAATCAACACACATTACCAAAACAATACAAGACGACCTTGATGCCAGACGCAGACAATGAGGAATTAAAATGCATCTATTCGCTGTCGAGAAAGATGGCCGACTGCTCACAGATATTTGCGCATCAATGGTTTCACATCTGCACATAAAGGTCAACAATGGGTATCGTTTCAGTTGACCAGGAAAGGTGAATTGTCAGAGAGGTGCATGCGTCAATGGTACCATTTGCATTTGACAATCTAATTATCAGAACAATGGGACCCGCATAGCTGTTCCTTGAAGACATCCTCATCCTAAATGTTTTGGTTGACTAGATGATCTTTTGCAGAGATGCTTAGCATTTTGAATATGTTTATACTTTGGAAAGATCACTCATTTCATCATCATGGCTAGTGAGTGACATTTGGTTACATCAGGGGCCAATGCTGATAATATTTAAAAAGATTTGTAGAAATGCTTAGATTAAAGTAACATTATCATATTTTCTCAAAATGTTATAAAAAAATCGGAAAACTACTCATTGCTCTTGATTGGCTCGCTTGAGTTAGCATGACTATCATCCAATCCCAGCAATCTCAAATTGGCCAATATATCAATCCATTACGATTCCGAATTGAATTACAAGTTCCCCACACTTGAGCTATTTCAGTACCTGAAAAAAACCCAGTGTGCATATTGTTCCACAGCAAAGTAAGCTGATGGAGTTGAATACAGCAAATTTATGCAGTTCGATTGAAAAAAAGAAGTGTCTTGATTTTCTTGAAGTTCTTAGGGGATCTCCCTTGAACAAAGGGTCGATGAGGGCAAAATGATGTGACAGGAAATAATGGGTGTGAAATGCCTACACACTAGAGATCGTTTCAGCAAAGCGCTTTATGGATAGGAACGTGTGACAGCTGCCGCCCTATCTTGCCTATTACCGGATCTCCCGCTGACATGACCAACAGTACTTAAAGTCGACATGAAACGGAAGTTGCGATAGTCTTTCTTCCCTATACTGTGATGAATATCTGAGGGAAATGACTTCTTGAACAAGAAAAAATGTTGGACGGGACTTGATTTTGTCCATTGGGGATTGATTGGATCATTGTGGTTTGGTTAGACACCATATTGAATTTAACTCGGATGAAAACGAGGCTATGGGGGATAAACTTGATCACGTAATTTTCACAAGTCACAACTTTCAAAGCTGTTTTATGGAGTTTTTGTCGTCTGAATTTATTTATTTATTTTTCGGAAAGACATTTCATCAGCTGAAAAATGTATGCTGTTAATCAAAAGTACAATCAACTGAACGCACTGGACTTATACCCCTCATTTTCACTCCTGTCAAAACTTCAATCTGGCGCTACCCTGATTACGTTCTATTGCTGTGATGTCATGTGAGTGACAGGTTGTCCCGCCCTTGCGCCGATGAACACGTCATAAGAGAAGAGAAGAGAATGCAGGTGGGAAGGGACGTTTTTTTGATGAAAGATTACGAGGGTACAGGAATTTTAAAGAAACAATGATGTGTACTGTACATATAAATCATTTATAATAAATACTGCAATATTCCATTAAAAATAAGAATGGTCAATGTTGATTTCATGGCGAATTTAATGTAAGCTATCTAAACATATTCAATAACTGGTAGGGACAGGATTTCGAGTGAAATAGCCTCTGATATCAGGAAACATAAGTCTGCAATCATATTTAATATTGTGGGCGTAGAAAAAGGTGCAGGAAATGAAACTTCTGATATGAGGAATAACGTTATTTTCATTATAACACCAAGCTTTTCTTAACAACAACATTCTGGATCCGATCAATGTCCTCTGTCCTCAGTTCTTCAATCACTGGTTTGTTTTAAAAACCGATCCTTGTGGCAGAGTGAAAAGGTTTATTAAATCTCTCTCAAACACTGGTAAAAACGGATAATTTAAAGTATGGGTAGGTTGGTACACTTTCCATGTCAGGTGGTACAACTACAGTAGCCTACATACAACTATTCGGTTGCACCGCCTGACATGAACAGTCAAAATTTTATTTCAAACATTTCGAAATGTTATAAAAAAAATGCATTACATGTGTTTTGAAAATACTTAAAAAAAAAAAAAAAAAACTTTTTTGAAGCTTAATTTGTCAATGACCCATATCAGTATTGTCTCCTTACAATATGTCCAACTTTCAAACAAACCTACACCCTAGCAGGAAACACATATAACAAGAGGAAGTATGTGAAGTTATCATCTGTAAACAAAACAAACCAGGACCCCCCCTGCACCCCCTGTTCTTACCTGACCACATTGGGATGCTCAAAGGACTCCAGTTGCCTCAGCACTGCCACCTCGCGGATAGTTGACAGCGGCATTCCCTCTTCCTCGGTCTGCACCCGAACTCTTTTCAGGGCTACAAAGCGGCCTCCGTTCTTCAAATCCCGTGCTTTGTACACCTTTCCGTATGCACCTTCGCCGATCTCAGCCACCGGCTCATATTGTGGGGTTGAGCTCTCTTTGTCCATTTTTTTCTCACACGGCGAGGTACTGCGGGGAATCCCGAAATGTGACGAGCGCGCGGATATTTCACAAAGGCATTATTTGGAGAGCGGCGCTGGCACGTGCACTGCCTGTAGAGCGCGAGCACAAAAGGAGGCAGAGGTAAACACCAATGTGATCTGAGTTAAATCAAATCTTATCTCTTCACTTAAGATAACAGATATATATGGATCTTAAACCATAAATACAACATACACAAAGCTAGCTTAGCCGCTTTTATGGCCTATAATATCAAGGAAAGTTCAGTTAATACTAGCTATCAACATCTGGAGTCATAAAGAATGTGGGTAAATGATGATGTTCCGGATGATATAAAGGAGAAAACTTCTATCTAGTGTATGAGAAAAGGTCTAGTTAAAGCACATGTGTAAAACTCTAAGAATTTCAACCTTTGTAGCCTATCTCATACTTTTTATAGGCTAGCCTAAAAAGCATCATAAGCTAATGACATGTCAAGTGGTGTAACCATCAAACAAAAACATATACTTTGCAGCTTGAATAGCCTATATGTTTTGTGATTGTATACAACTTAATTGATTTCAAAGAGTTCTATTTTTCAAGTGTTCTTTTTCACCAATAGGCCTATTTTTTGTCAAGAATATGGAAAAGTTATTTATGTTACTCAATTTGACTTGAACAAACCATGATTTTTCATTAAGGGAAATATTATATTTTTTTTATTATAAAAAATATATTATTAAAAATGAATGACCTTGTCACAGTTATGCGGGTCTACAGAAGATTTCGCCATAACATTATTTCTTGTTTTATAGTTTTTCATGTCACATGACAACAAAATGGCTTCCTGCATGCTGGTTAGACCACATTGACAGACAGTTTTTTTTAAAAATAGGCTACTAATTACATCTAATTATAAAATATGAATAAGCCTATACTTCTAAAAGCAAATGTCAAATGTCAAATAAATAATAAAAAATACTTAAGAAAAGTAATTTTTTTGTCTTTTCATAGGACTTTTCCCCAGAAGATACACCACCCTGACGTTAAGCCCCACCGATATATTTAAAAATGAATTTAAAAATATAAATCACATATATATAAATAATATATTTAAATCAAAATAATATCACCACAGCGTTAAATTCAAAAGTTAAAAACGTTCAAAGGAAAAAAAAAACTATTCAATTCGTGATTTGCATTTAAAATTATTTTTTAATAACTTCACGTCTTCACGTCACTAACACATAATTACTCGTGAACCTTCGCGTCAACACATGCTTAATACAACTCGTTTCCGTACAGTAAGCGATTGACTCTAGCACGTGCGCACATTGCCAATAAAATATAAACGAATTGAGTTTTCTAATGACAAGTATTGCTCTTCTTTGTGCCGCACAGCCTTGAGCACGTGGTTGTCTACTGATTGCATTGTTTAGCTGTGCATATCAATAAACGCTGGAACTAAAGCGCCTACTTTTGCTTCCACCACGCTCTAATAAACTATCTAGCATGCAAAATCCCCAGATGTAGCCTACAAAAGCGCAATGAACGTACAAATAATAGAAGCAACAAGTGAATGAGAGTTTGTCCAGCATAGTTACCCCGTTTGTTAGCCTATATTCCGCCCGGAGAGTCGCGTCATTCATAAACTTCAGTAACTTTCCCAGCGTCTCCTCCACACGCATCACAGCTCGTGCAGTGGTGTACTCGCAACGGGCCACACAGGTAGACGGGTGCACGCGCTAAGCCCCATCTCCCAGCAGTACCACACACACCACTGCAACAGCGGATCAAGTGAAAGATCGTCCTATCAGTCCCTTAAAAAAGCAGAGTGGATCAAAAAGTTACTGATTTTCATCGATCTGCTGCGACCGTCCTCCTTCCCCCTTTATGTTTTTCCCATCTATCTATGCAGGAATATGCAGCGTGTGCGTGTGTGTGCTCGGTCTCCTCCTCGCTTTCCCACGCTGGCTGAATGTGCCTTGACCCCCTTCAGAGCAGTTTGACACAGAGCAGGAGCGTTTCCGCATTCCTCACCGACTACAAAGACTAACCGCCTCCTCTTGCTTTCTCCCTGCCTGCTCGCTCCTTCACCATTCATTCTGCTTTTTTGTTTTTGTCTCGGTGTCAAAACGGGATCACCGCGGGGGAAAGAGCTGGGACGCAGAAAGGTTATTGGATGCATCTTGGAAACTTAGTGAGGCAACAGATTATCTCTTCTTAATTATGCATACAGTAAATTCACCTTATCAATAACTGCATTACTTATCTTGTAGCATTGGATTTCTTTAACGTGTTAAATCACGGTTGTTAAAAATAAAGCTATTGCACTGCGGATTGATAAGCTGAGATCTCTTGCAGTGCAAAAATGCTACAGTAAAATTGTTTATTAGTTAATATTTTCACTATACAGTGAAAATGTACTATAAGGGTTATAAATAGAATTGTTGTGTGAATGAAAATTGATGGTAAATAATTTGTAAATAATATAAATTATTTTAGCAGATATGTACATTTATTTTGTTTTATGTTGCATATTATATTGTTTAGTGCATTATTGTTTTGTTGTCTATTAGTAACACTGCAAAATCTATACACAAGTATGGGCCATTATGGATAAGCATCATTTTGTCTCCTGTATTTAATGACCCTACAAGTTTGGAGAAAATATTTATTGTAAAATATTGTATTTTAAATATGAGGGAAGAACAAAACACTAAACTCGGTTGAGGTGTTTATCTGACAAAATGGAGGCAAACTACAGCTACAGGTTTTATTTTGCTGTGCAAAATACATAGAGAAACAAAAAGATCACAGGAAAGAGTATACATTGACTACAACATAATCAAGTTATTTTCGTTGGTTCTCTCGTTTTTGCTTGTGTTCATAATTTCTGTGTATGACAGCCTGGCCAAAAATGATGTCCACACAATTTGCCATGTTTCATTGCATTATCACAAATAAAACTATTGACTCCAAGCACAACTACGCAATATGCTTTAACAAATTTGGGCGAAGATGTCAATTTCCCTATGCTGGACATAATTTTTGTCCACTATATATGTATGAATGTATCAAAAGTCTTGCTTATACATACACTCACTGGCCACTTTATTAGGTAGACCTCAACTGCTTGTTAATGCCAATATCTAATCACAATCACTTGGCAGCAATTCAATGCATTTGGGCATGTAGACATGGTCAAGACGATCTGCTGAAGTTCAAACTGAGCTCCAGAATGGGGAAGAAAGGTGATTTAAATGACTTTGAAAGTGGCACGGTTGTTGGTTTTTCAGAAATTGCAGATCTACTGGTGCTTTCATGCAAAACCATCTCTAGGGTTTACTGAGAACGGTCCAAAAAAGGGAAAATATCCAGTGAGCCTCAGTTCTGTGGACAAAAATGCCTTGTTGATGCCAGAGGTCAGAGGAGAATGACCAGACTGGTTCGAGCTGATAGAAAGGCAACAGTAACTCAAATAATTGTTACAACCGAGGTCTGCAGAAGAGCTTCACAAGTCCAACCTTTAAGCAGATGGAGTAAAGCAGCAGAAGATCACACCTGCTCCTTTCCCGTCAGCTAAGAATAGGAAACTGAGGCTACAATTTGAACAGGCTCACCAAAATTGACCAATAAAAGATTGGAAAAACTGTTACCTGTCTGATAGTCTCGACTTCTTCTGCGACATTCAGATGGTAGAGATTTTAACGTAATTTGGTGAAACAACATGGAGCCATGGATCCATCCTGCCTTGTATCAACGGTCCAGGCTGCTGCTGGTGGTGTGATGGTGTGGCACGTTTTAGTTGGCACACTTTGGGCTCCTTAGTACCAATTGAGCATCATTTAAACGCCACACCCTGAGTATTGTTGCTGACCATGTCCATCCCTTTTATGACCACATGTGTGCTCATCTTCTGATAGCTACTAACTCATCAAACTGATTTCTTGAACATGACAGTGAGTTCACTATTCTCAAATAGCATCCACAGTCACCAGATCTCAATTCAATAGAGCACCTTTGGGATGTCAGGAGCCATATCACCCTATAGCCCAAGACTGGTTGCCCACTGAAGCTAAGCAGGGTTGAGCCTGGTCAGTACCTGGATGGGAGACCTCGTGGGAAAACTAGGTAAGAAGTGTTAGTGAGGCCAGTAGGGGGCGCTCACCCTGTGGTGTGTGTGGGTCCTAACGCCCCAGTGTAGTGACGGGGACAGTAAACTGTCAAAAAGCACTGTCCTTCAGAAGAGACGTTAAACTGAGGTCCGGACTCTCTGTGGTCACTAAAAACCCAATGGCACTTCTCGTAGAAGAGTAGGGGTGTAATCCCGGTCTCCTGGCCAAATTCACTCCACTGGCCTTTATCAAACATGGCCTCCTAATAATCCCCATCCACTGAATATAAGACCCCTGATATGTTGTAAAGTGCTTTGGGTGGACAGCAGTACATAGTAAAGCGCTATATAAATACCTCATTCATTACTTCATTCATGTGGTTGAGCGGGAGATGCTATCATGTCAATATGAACCAAAATCTCTGAGGAATGTTAGCACCGTATTGAATATGCCATGCAAAATAAAGGCAGTTCTGAAGGCAAAAGGAGTCCAACCCAATACTTGCATGGTGTACCTAATAAAGTGGCCAGTGAGTGTGTGTGAAGTCGAACTGAGTGCACATACATATAATAATATTTATGCTTTTGTACACTTAAATCTCTGTTCCAACAAAAGACTTTTAGCTGTTTTTCAATTTTTCAATTAATATTTTATTGAAAAGCCGTTTAGCCTGTTTCTCCATTGCACTTTTAAAAAAACTGTGTAAAAAGATTGTTTATCAGGGAAGGAATGTGGGTGAATCTTCCTAAATTAATTGTATGGTGTGTGTGTGTGTGTGTGTGTGTGTGTGTGTGGGTGAATCCGCTCGTCTTCAGCATTCAGAGGAACTGAACGCTCGTTGATTTGAGTGAGAGCAGTTCGGCATGGGGGCAGATGATGAGTTTGAAGAAGGTTTGTCTGCCAATACAGTTTCCCCATGTGTGACCCCTCTTGTCAACTTAAAATTCAACTTTTTTGCATCACAAAGCACACTTTACACACAATGGCCTCTAAACCAATAACTGCAAAGGCTTCCCTGTACATTTATGCATCATGATTGTTCATTTTAAATGAGCTCTGAGAGCCATTTCTCAGATTGAATACATTACCATGCATACACATGCTTATTAGGCAGTGAAAAACAAAACAATTAAATTGGTTTGTGTGTGGTATGCTTACTGTACTTTGAGCCATGCCAAAGTAGTCATTTTGAAAAAAGAGAAACGGTCACACATTCTGTGCGAGACAGATGTCATAAAACAAGACTCAAATGAGTCGCTGAATGGATACGTAAAAAAAGAGAATGCAGCAAAAATCCAAAGGATCAAAATATGTAATATTAAATTATTCTTGGGGACAATGATGTATGTGAGATGAAACGGGAGATTTACACAGCATGGTGGTGTGTGCTGTTTTAACGTTTGTCTTTTTGTGTAAGGATGAAGAGGAATTTTGTGGTTGAGATAATTATCTCGTACCAAGGCATTTTAATTGTCTCCCAGTAAAAGCTTTAATGTTTTATGAAAACAAACACATGCTTCAAATCAAAAGTGAATAATTCAGTCAGAATATGTAAATGCGGTGAGAATTTCCTGTTTAGATTTTACTTCTAAAACATTTCTGAACGCCTTCACAATATTTATGCTCTGTAAAAAAAAATTGGCTTAAATTTTTTAAGTACAATCAACTTGGATTAATTAAACTGACTTTAAACTACGGGGCAGAATGCTTGAATCTGATTGGTTGACGAATGTTCAAAGGTGTGCAATTATTTTAAGAGAAAATAATTCAAAGAAAGTATATATAAAACTGTTGGATTAGCCATTTGTTGCACAAGTTCAACCGTTTTATGTGTCTTTTTTTTGCATATGCTTTGCTTATCATTACAATGACTGGAATGAAAGGGTCCAATCATACACTATCAGTGCTTTTTAAATGACAATCTCTGCGGTTATTTGAGAAGCTTGAGTGGCAGATGGGGATCAGTCTGTCTATGTAAGAGAGACTCTCTCCAATGGAGAACAGGTGACATTCTACCAGATTACCTTTCCACCCCATACACTTCTGACCAGACACCAGTCGGCCCGACAGCAGCCTTGCAGATCGGCTTTCTCAAATCAGATTCAGCCACACATGGAGGCAGCATTTGTGAAAGTGATCCCGATAGTCCTCATGTTACTCTTAGTCGATTCACCGTCTCCTCAGTGCACAGAATAACTGCTCGTCACCACACCCGAAACGCAGCGTCTGTGTGGTTTGTTAATGATAAAACAACCTTATGTTTGGTTTACATCTATGGATGAAGGAGATTACATATCAAAAAGCATTAGTCTCTGACATGCTGTTTCAAAAATGTCTCAGTGTTTTGTTTTAGTTTGTTTTTGTCCATACAATTAAAGTCAAATGGGCCTGATGTTGTTTTGGACCCCATTGGCATTCATTGTTTGGACAGAAACAGCAAAACAAAATTCTTCAAAATATCTTTTGTGTCAGAACAACGAAAGTCATACAGATTTGGAACAACTTTTGCTACGTTAGTTTGGTCAAAAATAGAGTAAAAGCAGTAATATTGTGAAATATTATTATCATTCAAAATAACTGTTTTCTATTTTAATATATTTCATAATGTAATTTTTCAGCATCATTACTCCAGTCTTCAGGGTCACATGATCCTTCAAAAATCATTCCGATATGCTGATTTGATGCTCAAAAAACATTTAATCTTATTATGAAAGGTGAAAACAGGTGTGCAGCTTCATATTTTTTTAGGAAACTGTGATGCATTTTCTTCAGGATTCTTTGATGAATAGAAAGTAGTATCTGAAAATAGATCTGAAATAGAAAACTTTTGTGGCACGTTAAATGTCGTTACTATCACTTTTGATTCATTTAATGTTGCTGAATAACAGTATTACTATATTTCAAAAATTGAGACTGAGTTGCATGTCACCTCATTCCTTAG